ATATTTGTAAGAAAAATTTTGCATCTGCCTTAAATATCCCACCCACCCATTCCCATAATTTGGAGTTTAAATGATTGCATATTTGGTTCTTGGTGCTGGCTTTTTCTTTGTATTTTACAGAATCTGTTGCATTGGATGTCGTCTTCGTGAAATATGTCGTGGCATAACCTGTACAGGAATGGCGTTTGCGCACACCAAAGCAACTGAGGCCTACAGAAACTTTGTATTGTTGTGAAGTTTTCACCATTGAACTGTGAAGGGGGTTGAAATGTTGAACCATTTTATATGTAAAATATTTGCTGATATGTTGATATAATTTGTTTTGTGCTTGAATTGTGCATATAACTAATTACACTTAAATAAGTAACCTTAAATAAGTAACCACCCGCGGTTTACCCGGGGTGGTCATTTTTTGCACATATGACTTGTTTGTGTTGATGAATTTTGTTGAATTTGTGTGGGTTTGCCCAAAAGTTGTGTGTATTAATTGGCATCCCACAAATTACTATGCCACGGCCAATGTTCGCCAAAATAAAGGTTAAAACAAACATTTTGTTGTCATTTCCCTGTATAAATAATTGTAAGATAACCATCTCACAATTACAGAGGTTATATAGGCACTTTTCTAAGCATTTCATATTTATAGCATAAGTAATTATTTGAACAATAATTCTTTGAACAAAGAAACCTAAAACTAAATGGCCTACGCTTGCATAATCCATCGGTGTTCTCGTTCCAGGTAGAACCCGATGTGCAGACAATATTTGGAGAGGACAAAGAGGGTCTGTAGTTGATGTCACAAGAGTAAGAGCATTTGTTCCCAATATTTCGTATACAGCTTTCAGCCAGTTTTCCGTTCCGAATAGTTGAGGGACATAAATGAACTAGAAATTTTATTTAAAAAATTAGCATTTCTTCTGCAGGAGAAAATTAAAATTATCAAAATTATCAATCCAACTACTGTAAATAACTTTTTATTCGCGAGAACTTTATTTTCGCGTAATTTCGCGAGACAGTATACTCGCGAAATTTTAATTCTCGCGTAAAATAGTATTCCTTAAGGTTATATAGAGCAATGACCACAATTCGTCAAAATTTTGTCTCGCTTATCAAGAGTCAATGACTATCTCGCGAAGATAAGGTGTCGCGAAAATTAAGTGATCTACAGTAACTCACCACATAGATTATTTGTATCATCACTCCATGTTCCATTTTCTTTACATGTGATATTTGGAACAGATGGATTGATTTCCAAAGGGCTAAAACATCTATATTCACATGTTTCTTGGATATTTGACTGACAGTTTATAAGTTGACCATTTCGTATCGCCTTTGAACATCCAGAAGCTATGCAAAAAAAATCATGAACATTAACTCACTAATGTTTATTACTAATGTAATATTCAAATTCAAACGATTAATTCTGATAATTGAGAGATACAGCAAAACTCGGTTATAACGAAGTCACAGGGACCTATGAAATTACTTCGTTATATCCGTAATTCGTTATAACCGTATAAGAAATTCATTAAATATATATAGCTGGGGATCGAAGCTGACTTCGCTATATCCGTAAATTCGCTATATCCGTGTTCGTACTAGACAAGTTTTGCTGTATTATCAATGTCATTGTATCGACCATAGAACTTACGAAGTTATGACTTTCAACGAGACTGCTGATATTCTTGTTTCATCAACTTATTTGTCAATAATTTACCTTGTTTTAAAAATTGAACATACGTAGATCATGCTCTTGTGTATCGAATCTACTGCGAGATGAAAAATCCGTATGCAGGTGAAGGTATATTGTTGCATAAATAAGGGAAGCTGACGATTGAAAAGTTAAAGTCATCACGTTTATAATAGGGCTAGGTTGTTAGATTACCATTAACGCCTTTTCAAATTAAATATCCAAATTTGAAACAGAAATGTCATACCATGTAGTATATTTCATCTCAAACTCCCCGGGATAGATTGAATTGACATAAAAACCATTGGTAATTGACAATAATACGCCGTTGATATATCGAAATGTCGAGTTGAAGGCCGCAGCAAGTTTTTTCTTTTTTTCACGCATAAGATTTTTCACGAATTGTGCTTCATGTGAATACAAAAATAGGTCTGCTAATAACGGGCGCTCTTGTACAATGTACCCATTCATATTTCAATTATTGTTGGAAGACCATGTTTCTAAACACCGCATAGATATTGTCAATCAGAAACTCAAGCATCTTTTTGATGTCACTTTAAGAGAACGTGTGTGTATAATCGTTTTTAACGACTTAGATCTTGCAAATGATGACTTTAGACGAGACTGCTGATATTCTTGTTTAAGCAACTTGATTGCCAATAGTTATCTTGTTTTACACATGGAGAAAGTGTACATACTTAGAGTATGCTCTTGCGTATTAAATCAACTGCGAAATACCGCTATAACAGATGTGCAGAATATTTCTGAAACAGTTGCAAGCTTGAAATTTACTTTGTTTTCTTACTTATTCATTATATTAATCTCTCTCTCTCTCTTTCTCTCTCTCTCTCTCTTGCTTATTTCAAAATAAATTTCATAGTCTAATATATATATATATATATATATATATATATATATATATATATATATATATAAAGCACGAAGAAATTCACTTTTACAAGGATGCTCACTTCTGCCCCAGCCCGGGGTTGAACTCACGACCTACGGAATCTGTCTCCCAGCAGTACAGGAACAGCGCGTTAGACCGCTCGGCTATCTAGCCAAGTTAAAAAAACTTGCTTTCGCTGCCGATGGAATTCTCACAACGCTGTTCCTGTACTGCTACGAGACAGATTCTGTAGGTCGAGAGTTCAACCCGGGCTGGGGCGGAAGTGAGTATCCTTGTAAAAGTGAATTTCTCTGTGCTTTCCATATTAATATTCCTTCACTTAGGGCAGTTACATTTATTTAGTATAAGAGTTGTTGTTATTTGTGCTTTATATATATATATATATATATATATATATATATATATATATATATATATATATATATATATATATATATATATATATATATATATATATATATATATATATATATATATATATATATATTATATATATATATTCCTATCAATGATTTGCTAGTACTGAAAAGAAGTAATTCTTGTTTATTTAAATATTTTTGCTAATTATTATATCAATGCTATGTAATTTAAGAAATTTTAGTCTTTAGATAAATTCTAGATTAAAATATCATAGTAAATCAAATTGTCAAAATATTTACTGTAGTTATTATAGAAAACTATAGTTAACTACAGTAAATTTTTGTTAGGGTATACCCATGCAGAAAGGATTAGGAGATGGAGTCCATTGTCCGGATTGATCACAAGTAACAGATGTATTGGAAACAAGCTTATATCCAGATTTGCACGCAACTGGACAAGTTTGACCGGAATATGGAAGACAGTCAGGGAAATTTACATTCTGTAGGGAGGTGTCACAGCGAGATACTGTCAATGAAATTTTAATCAAAGATAATAAAAACATTTAAACTAGGCATAGTTATCTAATACATAAATATAAAAATGTGTTATTCATTGGATATAAGAAATAAGTAAACTTGAAAACCTCCTTGACATGTTTTTTGGTCTGCTTCTAAATCAACGTAATCCTGACATCCACATGTTCTCCCAGTTGGTGTTGGAAAGCAGAAAGTACTGCATCCTCCGTTATTCTTTGAACAAATTCTATTAACTAAAAGAAGTATAAGAACTATCAAATGACTGCCTTAGAAAACGTTTTTGAAGAATATTATAAAATCCTAACTTACCATCCACTGAATCACCTGTAAATATATCCAAACTATCAAGTCGACCAAGCTCTGGGTGATTTTTCATAAATGTGACTTTAGAACCTGTAGCTTTATTTATCTTTGTTATACGCCTGTTTTGTTAGAAAACATTCATCATGATTATAACTTCAGGATACTAATTATAAAGGATATTTCTTAAAATAATGAATCAATTGGTAAGCTCATTTTCATTGTCAATTCAAATATGTACAAATTTAGAGCTAAAGCTAATTGTTTAAAAGATAAATCAGTTTTAAATCAAACGATTCTTTTATTTGTGCAGGGAGAGTAAAGATTTAATTTACTGTCTATTCCACGCAGTGTAATATAAAAATTCTCCATGAATCACAACACTCATTAGATGTGCGTCATTATCAGTTGTTAAAACGTGTCTGTTTAAACCATTTAGATTTGAGTACTCTATGCGATTTTTAAGGCCATCTGTCCAGTATAGTTTGTTGGCTACAAAAAAAGAAAGAATGTGTAAACTGATTGAATTAAAAACTATAAGCTTTGAATTATGTTGAGAATTTCTCCTGACTATATATTTGTACATACAAATAAAATCTATTGCGAGACCGATTGGCCATCCAATATCTGTTGTTGTTATATACTCTTTGGACGTTCCATCCATATATGATCTACCAATTTTTGGTCTATTGCCAAATTCTGTCCAGTACAAAAAGCTAAAGGTAAAATAAAATGAAGACTGTAGCGCGAATCTTTTTTTTAATCCCTCTTTTACTTCTTTCCAAATAAAACAATTGAGACATTGTCTTAACTGGTTATTATTTTTAAACAAGAGCATTTGGATTTACAGTAAAGAAATAAACTAACCCTTTTGACGGATATACCACGATATCTCCTGGACTATGCAGGTTTGAAAACAAAGTCCTATGGAGTAAGGCGGCTCTGTGTACAACTCCAATATAGCTTAGACTGGGAGTGAAACTTTTTGCAGTATAGTAAATGTTTCCCGTTGAATAGTCGATGGTCAAGCTTTCTGCATGAGCGAATCCTAAACATTTGGATGAAAGATTTAACTCAGTCAGTGACAACCAAAAAGTATAGTAATTGAGAAAATCTGTGCATTTAAAAAAAAATTAAAAAATATTGATTATGAATTAGTGCAAGCATATTGTATGCAACACAAATTTTGAATACCTGTTGCATACAACAAGGATGTGTTCTTTCCATGAAGTGTGGTCGACATTATAGTTCTCGAAGAGAGAGATGAGTAGATGAGTTTCATTCCCAATTTATCAAATGTCATTCCAGGATGAGTTTTTACAACTATTGGTAGTTTGACTATGTTCCCTGTGTTTATGTCAACCTGAAGGATTCGACCGTGGGAATAATCGGAAACAAGAAGGAAATTTGTGGAATAAGTACCTAATAAATAAACATTAATTATTAGTTTTCTAGACCATGTAGATAGAGTGTAGAGTAATCATCATCAATGAAAAGCAGATAGGTAATATCGGTCACTTAAGTACATATTTCTATGGTTTAGATCTCTTTAGAACATTATGAAGACACTTTGATGATCTAAACAAATACAGAGTTGCATTCTATATAAGGTACATCTTTTAGGTAACAATCTGGAGATAAGTAAACATACCTAAAAATTGCTTGAAATGAAAGGAATGTAAACTTTTTAGCAGTATTATATTTAGAACATTATAATCTGTCTGAAGATTTTTCAGTTGCATTATCTCGGGTCTTTCCGTCAGAGGTCGGATATACAACCTCGAATGTATTAACATCAACGGATGTTAAAAATTTGTACATTTCCTGTTTATTGAAATATAGGAAAGAAGGGTTTAAAAGTGGTATATTTTAGGTAATATCTTAAAATTCAATAACGTTAAACTATATATTAATATTTCCAAGTTTGTGATAGGGGGTTGTCAGGACGTTATAGGTCGGCCTGAGAAGTTGCGATTGGAAAATTTCTATAATTCATTATCTCCATAAACATATGATTTCAAGGAAATAGTATCAATATTCATACGCACACAATGTTGAATTAAAGAAGAAGGTATGGTTTAAGCTTTATTGCGCCCTAAAAATGTAATGACATCAAAAAGTTTTGAAACTGGCTTAAATATTAGTTAAATAATTGACTGTGATAAATTAGGAAAGAATATGGTATAAAGGTTTACCATTCTGCAAATATGACGTCATTAATGTGAAGCATTTTTCTATTTTCAACAGAAAAAGCCTCAAAATGGCACATTTCAAGGGTGATTTTCCTTTAGAAAACAGTGTCCACAGCCGTCGCCCACGTTAATTTTTTGATATTTTGTGCAAAACCCAATAACAAATCACCTATCTCAAGACTTTGTGGGCGATGCCTGTGGACAATGTTATCTGAAAGAAAATTCCATTGAAAATTGGTGTCTTCTGCAACTTTTTAAGAAAATACGGGAAAATGCACATGTTTATGACGTCATAATTAGCATTTAAAAGCACATGTGAGAAAAATGATTTGTATGATTTTTCTGCATTGAATTTCAGTTATTTAAAAAGCATGGGTTTTCAGCTGTTACCCCAGTTTCAATTTTTAGAAAACCACAGGGCAAAATTTGTATTGAAACCATGCCTTCTTCTTTATCAGTGCCCACGAGTCTTTACATTAAAATACGCTTATATATAGGTAAATAGATAGAATACTTTAAAACATGTACTGCACTATGGTTATGTTCAACAAAGAATTTCTGATAACATATTCTCAACATTAGACTAATTAGACGATCTTATCTCTCAAGATATGACTTATGATAAAGAGTTTGTCACCAGAATCCAAATCTTTTCTGAATTGTGGGAATCGGGATCAAATTTGAGAAAGGTAGTGGTGAAAAAAGTCATGCAAAAAAAGACGAAGAGGTCAATGGGCCACAACCCTCACCTTAGGAAATTCGATCCTGCTGTTCTTCCCCAGATTTCCCCCATCGTATATGTAAATGTAATTCCTACTGTGGCTCCATCCTACCCCAGGGGGGTTAAACTATTTAAAATCTGCACTACCCAAAGATGTGTCCATTAAGTATCAGCTTCTTTGAGCCAGTGGTTCTTGATGAAGATGATTTTTAAACAAAATATTTCTATATATTTTAATGTAAAACTTGGATTCCCGATTGTGACTCTGCCCAATCCCGGGGGTTCCCAGATTTTTTTAACGTTTATGTTAATGAACACCAAGTCCCGTAGGACATGTAGGAGGAGGATTTGTTTGTAAATTATAAACATTTATACATTCATTTTTGTTTCTTTTATGCTCTCCTTACAGTCATGTTACATTTTAAGGACAGGCGAGAAGTTCCTTAATAATAGATAAATTTTTCTAAGAGTTTGTCATTGAAGTGTTGCTACTTAACATGTTTACTCACAAAAAATTTAGGTACCTTACCAGGCATTTCTGCAAGATACCAGGGGTAGTTTTTCTTATATAATCCTTTGGGGAAGAAAAACAATTTTCCAATTTCAAATGTTTAAGTGTTTGGATTTTTTAAAAACGTTTAGAAACTGGTTTAGAAATCAGAATGTTATTAAAATTTTGAATATTTTTCATACATTACGAAGATAAACAAAACAGATTTTGAGGAACGTCTCGTCTGACCTTAAGTACGTAAATACATATAAGATATACGCACATTATTATCTAGTACTTCTTTTATCATTATAATACTTTTAACATTTCTTAATTTTCATCAAGACCAAAAATCAAACACGCTCCGAAAAAGTGAATCTTCAGTGAAAATTCAGTATTTCTTAAATCTGACTAGGATTATATCTCATCCTTCTTGTTTCTATAACTGGAAATAAAGTCTGTAGAAAAATAAAGTCTAACAGTCTACATATGTAACGTTCTAAAAATTAATATCTTTTTCTGTAATTATATAATTGATATTGTAAAACCACCATAGCCTTTCGATCAAATAGAATAAATATAAATCTTATTATTGGTTTCAGTTTACTTAATCAAATATTAGAATCATTGATAGCAGAGGCACTTATATTATAAAGTCATACAAAAATGAACCAGAGGTTGAAACAAAGAAATGTTAACATGTTAATGTTAAGAAAGAAATCCCACATACTTTTTCATATGGTAGCAATTGACGATTATTATCTGCTCGTACAATTTCAAATTTCTAACAACTTTTTATGGGTTAAAATTAAAATTAATTTTCTCTCCTCAAGTTACAGAAAGATCTGTACGAAGAAAATTTAAGGAAACTTGGGTAAATTCTTTGCTTTGTGCGCTGATATTTCATTTTTTCGAGAGGGCATATAACAGGGAACATTTTAGAGGTCGGTAAGGAAAATACTTTTAAAAAGATTTATAGCCGATTTTGAAAAAAAAGAACTCTGCGAAATATTCTCATAAAAAATAAAAAAAGACAAAAGCAGCAAGTTATACACCTTGTATTTTCGAAATAATAAAACCCCAGCATAAGACAGCTATGGCCAGGTTTAATACTTCTCAAATCAGGTCTAACTTCATGGGGAAGGGTAAAGAGGTAAAAAGTGTTGGTATCCAAGTGAGAGTCTTGTCACAAGACCAGAAGTCCTATCCCTAGCACCAATCAAAAGTTATGGTTAAGATTAAAGTTTTCAAAAGGAGATCAAAGTCAAAGGTCTAAAGGTCGCAAATAGTCGTACCAAAGGAAAAGCCTTGTCACAAGAAATACACATCTGATATATGAAAGCCCTGGCAGCAAATATTGAAAAGTTACGGCTAAGGTTTTCGAAAGTAGACCAAACATTAATGTCAAGGTCAAGATCTTATAAAAGATCAACCAAGTCAAAATTTTATTGCCAGAAATACCCTTTCTAGATCTTTGATGTATTACTTGTGTGACGACTTTGTTTTCTTTTTTAACCATTGTCACTTGTTACTGCAACTATTTGTACTATCAGTTTAGGAAATTACATGTCTACTTTCAAAAACATTTAAAATTGGTGTCATCTCTGACTCTGGTGACAGAAAGAAAAAAGTCTCACTGCTATCACACGTTTTCAGATCAGATTGTAGTTGTAGTCCAATATCACATTCACATTTTCTACCAGTTCCTAAAGGAACACAAATATCCTCGCAGCCACCATTCAGTATGTGACAACCACCTACATGTAATATAAATATAGCTTTAAAACCTTTAAAAAACGTAAAGGAGGCATCATCAAAATGAATTAAAATCTCTGTCTCTCTGTCTCTCTCTCTCTCTAACACACACGCACCTTCACAATCTGTAGAATCTGTAACAGAGATATAAATTGATAGTTTTTTATTCTATCTGAAGGAAACAAACAAATACATGTATATCAGGGATACCTCTTAAACTAGCTTTGAGTAAATAGAACTTGCCTCTTCTGTCCTTCTGCAGAGAAGAATCAAATATGGAAACATGTGAAGCGTTTTGTAAAATATCCAGCGTAGGCTCTATAATACGTGACGTCTTTCTTTTAAAGTATATCTTATCTGCATTGATCCAACCAAAGAAACCCTAAAATAAAAGTGATTTTGATAAATAATTTTTTGTTAGAGATATGCTTAGTAACTAAATGGTTACATGAAACATAAAAATATCATATATTGTCATTACAAACAAAAAACTCAAATTTTAGACAAGCAAAGGAATTGAAGACTTACACTTAAGCATTTTCGATGGATTTAAGTCCTTTTCACTTGAACAAGTATTAACATTATTGAGAAACATTTATTTATAATGAAAAAAAAACAACTTTCTAAAACGCCGCTAAGCAAGTCACTTGTTTTGATTTATTAAGAGGTAGCAAAATGAAAGATTGCAATAAAACAATACTTTAAAACATACTTAATCCTATTTAAAACGACTATTTATACTACAGAAATTTAAACAATAGAATGTTTGCTTCCTTTGCTTGTTAGTACCGGATTTAAGTTGCAGTTAATGCAGAAAAACAGCAACTATATTTCAAGCCCTTAACCGGTATACAGTAACGTGCTTGAAAAATTCCCAAACTTACAACATATACAAAATTATATCAAACCACTTTATCATAGATCTGGTTTTTAAAAGAAAATGATATCAATTGCAACCACAGACTTATATTTTGTGAAACAGGGCCATCTAAATGATACATAACCTTATATGCAAACGCCTGTGTTGCACCCCCCGTGATGACATAGCCTTTAATATCCAATCCATTTGTCGTGCAGCTTTTAATTATTGATCTTTCTACCCAGTATATCCTGAAACATGAAAAACTGTACATATTATGTCATATATATTCTGAGTCTTACAGTTAGGATCTTAGAACGTTCAATTACGAAGTTACAATTCAAACGTCATGTGAAATATGAAATGAATGAGATAAATGTTCATTAGCATTATAAAAGTCGATCACAGCTTAACAACGATTTTGCAAACTATTTTGACTTGTCCTGAAATTTGAAGTGATACTTTTCTTTTGTACATACAAAATTCTTTAATGCGTGCATATAATTTCGATTTAAATGAAAAATAAAATCTTCAGCATTTTGTAAAAGTATTGTATGCCTGTTGCTTGTGACGTCGTAAAATAGAGAGCTTGGGTGGCGTAGATTTGCAGACGTTACAATAGTTTTTGGTTGACTTCTACCTAAC